TACTTAGAAATCAACCGCACTCCACATCCTAACTTAGAAACGGATACACTCGCGCGACCCTGGCTGTTTTCATATTTCACGCTATTTTCACGCAAATACGGGAAATTGTACAACTGCTATCAGAGCAGGTGGCGTTCAGTAGCAATAAACTGAGAAGTCGCAAATACGCTGTTTGCGTGTCCTGTTAATTTGCGCGGCCAGTTATAACTGGTTTGTACTAATAAAAGAGCTTAGCCCTCCAATCATCGGCTTGATTGGAGGAACCAAAAATTATAATAATACAAGTTGCAACAGTTCTATTTAAATTACGGATGTTAACTGCGCGTGTTATTTTTCACTGACAATCCTCCAGAGCATACGGAGAAATAACGTTAAAGTCCCCCAAATATAAGGTCATCCTTAACAGGTAAGCTCTCTTCTTCGGTCTGATTCTGTAATGATTAATGATTGCAACCGCTCTCCGTTGAGATGTCCTTTCAAATATACCGAGGAGGTCATAGAAAATGCTTGGTAGAAAGTGGAAAAAAAAAAAAAAAAAAAAAAAAAAAAAAAAAAACGAATTTCTAAGCTGGGAATGAAAACAAAAATGCCCCTCCTCAGATTATCGTCTAGTTGGAGAGAGAGTAGATTACGAGAGATGTGTAGGTCACCTGATGACTTTTGAAGTTGTCATTGCTCAAATTCAAAAGTCAATAAAATTGATCGAACGCGGTGAGATGTTTTGCTTTGCTTCTATTGACATGGCGAAAATGAGCGCATTATGAAACCAACCTGTAGACAAATTGTTTCAACATTAATAAAATAAAGGCAGCAATTTGTTTACAAAATATAGCAAGAACAGGTGATGACCGTACCCTGAAAATTTTAGAGTAAAAACCTCTCTTCCAATATAGGTTGGTTTCTATGATTACCATTTGATTTAATTGTAACCTCCAGCCATTCTATCGCTGTCTAATTCGGGGTTGTATTCAATTTTGTTCACTTGATGGTTATGTTGGCCGAAATCAGTAGTGCGCGCTCAACGAAATAGAAGGCAAACATAGCGCGTACACAAAAACACTTTTATTTTCGCAATAAATGGAGTTGTACATTGGTTAATTCGCTTCGCAAAAAAAAAAACAGTTTTGGTGGAAATTCTGTAGCATATTCCGACGGAGGATTACTAAATACAAACGGCAAAAACTACTTACTTGTTTTTTAAGGGCCCCAAAGAAACCAGATTTACGTGGTCTTGAGTTTTTATTTTAACGCGGCAAAAATGTCACAAGTTCATCAAGTATAAAACGATAACCAACATATTAAACTTGCTTAAGGACGGGAATTATGAGAAAAAAGGAAAGCTAAAGTGACTTTATGTTTTATTTCATTCCATGTTTTTCCTAATGTTACGGTCTTGCTATATTATGGCGCGGCAAAAAGAGCCATTAGCTTTAAAGTGACAGTTTTTGTTAAATTAAAAAAATGTAATAAAACTTGCTAATCTCTTCTTTTAAACCTGAGGTTTGTAATGGTATACCATGGCATTCGTGTAATAACTTCAATTGCATGAATGAGCACCGAATTCCCATCGAAAACGATCATGAAGTGTGGGTGGGGCATTAAAGACTTCACGAACCATTGAAAGTAATACGTTGAAAATGTCATCAAACAACTGTTTCATACGTCAAATGCACGTTTACCGCGATAGGGATTACTTCGGAAGTTAAGAGACCGCTAACGCACGAATCAGTGGTTAGGTTTAGAGTCGAGACAGACGGATACACAATGAAGGCGGTAAAGCTGAGGATAATCTCTACGAACTGGGGTTTTGTTGACGTTGATAAGTGAAAGTGTAACATCTTAATTTTGCCGCTAACTTTTCTGGAAAGCTGAGTCTTGTTAACCGATCAAAAACATGCTATTCAAACCAAGGCAGCGGGTGGTGATTTTGATTTAAGTATCGAATGCTTTTGTTTTCAAAGTGGTTTGATGTTAGTAGTGGCTGAAGAGGAAATTAAAACGTGCTCTCTGTAAATAATTTCTAACACGTCCTTTACTTTCCCTCACAGAATTGTTATCAATATTATCAGAAGCTTATGACCTAGTAGCTTCTAGATCCTTCCATATTGTTTAAAAAAAAGCTGAGGTTTATCAGCCAGCCAGTCAGAAGCAAGGGTGCAATTTTCGCTCAGATATGGAATTAGAAGTTTAAGCGATGCTTTACTTTATGGAAACTCGCAGCTGATTACGAAGAGCCAGCAAAAAGGTAACAAGAGTGAGATATTAAGCCATAATTTTTACTGAGCGCTGGATGAGTTATGGTTATTAATTTCTCTGATAACAGTTTATGAAAAAATTTTGAGTCCGACTCCTCACTTAATTGTGGCTGAATTCAAATAAATCAAGAGGACTGCTTTCAAGGTGTTTAATGGAAAAGACTTATACAAGTCAATCGAGGAAATAAGCTTCTGAGTTTTCATCGAGACGGGAGGATATTTCGACATTTCAATCTATGTGCTTCTCGTACCAGTTTAAACTTTTTTTTTACTTTTATATTCACAAGGGGCCGACACAAATCGCGATATAGAGTTTCACTAATTACGAATTGAATAATCATGAAGATTTTGAAGTAAAATATAATTTAATAAATCCCAGCTCTCAATCGAACAAACATAATCTCATCTAAGCCACAAGCTTTTGACATAATATTATGTTAATAAATGTGCCAGCTTTATTTAAATGAAGTTCGACATCTGTTTACTAAATAACATAAACTAAATAGAACGAGAGCAGATTATGAAAAAGGTGCAGCGAATGAAAATATATCAACCAGTCCGACAGTTTTTTCCCTCATCCATTGCAAAAGGGCCCAATTAACTGGCATTGTTTTATATTCATCAGTTCTGTATTCATTTCACAACCTAGACGGACGATGTGGTTTTTTGTTATGTCAGACCAAGAAACTTTCCGATATTCTGATTTATGAAAGCAAAAAAAGAATCGTTACGATTAATTAAGGCATCTCGTGCTGAGCCAATAACTTGCCCTTTTCTTATTTCCTCCGATTCCTTTAATGAAAAGGTCAGTCGAGCTTGCGTGAAATGTTTAACTGTCATTATAATTTCTTTCGTAACAAATTATGGAATTTTACAAAAGAGGAGTATTGTTTCGAATGAACGCTTGAGATTATCTGCAACGGAATTGAAAGTAATGACAATTTTACCTTTCGATGACTCAATGACCTTTCAACTTTTCATGAGGACTCAATCTGCAACGGAACCGAAAGAAATCACATTTCACTTTTCAAATCAGTCACATCTAATTTATAACTTAACGTTCTAAGTTCTTATTTGGTGCAAAACAAAAGCGATCAAGCAACTGCACAATTACCAAGAACTTTAAAAGCTATTTTCTTAGCTTTGTTTCACGGAGTTTCACTTGGAACTTATGTAGCTGCTCTATATTGCTGATATTACAGATAGCCAATGATTAGCTGCCTTTTTGACTGCATCACAATTTTTACTCCATTAACCAGTTTTAACGGTAAGTCAAAGAAAATTCATTCAAGCAAAAGAAATTTAAGAAAGAGCTCAAATCACAAGAATACCCAATGATTAACTGAATTAGCTCAGCTGTATTAAACTTAGATATTCCAATCTTTCAGTCAGATGATATCAGGTCCAGAGAATTTTATCCTAGTGAAAAGTCACAAACGTCCCAACTGATTTACAATTAGATCTTAGACAGCCGTTGTATCAGCTGATAACAAATTTAAACGATAAGTATTATGCTCCAGAAACCATGTAATTTTAATCTCTGTCTCTAATAACTACTCGTGAAAACTCAACACTGATCTCTCCTAGAGGATCCAAAAGTTGTCTTTAGTTGTCTATCTAAAACCGTTATCGGTAGTTGGACACCCGAGAGGAAGGCAACCTTGAAAGTTACAAATTCGAGAAGAAAATTCTCTCTCAAATCGACACTGTGATTCCCCTTGGAATACACGAAAGCCTCTAGATCTCATGCGATTCAGTTACTGTATTTGTGCATCATCCATACCATGAACTAAAAAAGCACAGCTCAATTCTCTACTACATAAAAACTCACACAGCCTCGAGGCTCCCCATTTGCTCCAACGACTGCCTTTTACTCGAATTTTCGACTGATGATTGAGTTGGAGTAATCGAACTGATCTTTTTTTATTATCAAATGAGATAAGTCATGTCTGACATGTAGATTGCTAGATGCGAATTCATCTTATAAATGAACCGCAATTAAATCAATCTGCTTTTACAAAAGAACCAAGCATCCCTTAAATATAACTTATAAATAAATAAATAATAAATAGATAAATATACTTTTATATAGCGCCATCTTCCATTAATTGTCCATGGCGCTTTACAATACTCTAGAAACCGTAAAAATTAAAATCCTAAGAATTTAATACACTATGTAATACAATAAAGTTACAATTAAAAAAGTAAAAACTACAAGTAAAAACTAGAAATCAAATGTGTGCTTAAAAAGATAAGTCTTAAGACTTAAAGTGGTTTGAAATAGTTCCTACCACAACATCTGCACACAATCATTATGCAAAGCCCCAATTAGGCCTAATTTACTTTCTTGTGACGGTGCTTATATTATTTTAGGGAATACTTCAATTGTAGTTTGACAGTGAGGATAGATTTGTCATTCAGCATAAACAGCTTAAATACAATTTCTACACAAACGACAAAGTTTGCCGGTGTTTCGTAAACAGAGGGTCTTTAAATATTACAAGATCGATACGTACATATATCGAAAACCCCAAACAGAAACTTGAATGAGAGAATGATAGTCGGGTTTTGCTTTAGGCAAGATAGATTTAAGGACATTTTAATGCATTCAGTTTTCACAACTTTGCCTTAGGACCCTCTAGAAAGTGAAAGTCGACATCTAAGTCAAATTTCAAATTATGTCATGGCAAATAATGTCTCACCCATAGCTCCGTAAATGTTAGGAAATATTTACCGAGGCGACAACTGAACAAATATTCACAAATTTCTCTTTCGCCTTGGGCGAATAATTCAACCATACTCACGAATAACTTGCATTCACCAGAAAAAATGGACGAAGATTGAGATATCCAAGAACACGCCATGTTTAACTGCTCTATTACATCTTCCTCTCTTTTTAGACACGATGTCTAGCCTGGAGTTACCAAACCGAAGCTTGGCAGCTGTTATAAGTGAGTCGATCGTTTGCCTGGCATTGAACATCATAAGCATCACTGGAAACAGTCTTGTCTGTTTGGCAGTGTACAGAAACCGTAATCTTCGATCAACCACTAATGTGTACATCGTTGCTCTAGCTGTCAGCGATCTGTTGGTTGCAATGATAGAAATGCCTTTGGCATCAGCTACACTTATTATTGGAAGATTTGATTTCGGCTTCGCCCTATGCCAGATTCAAGGTTTCATTGGCCCCTTCGCCACTTACGTGACTCCGGCAACCATGGGTTTAACTGCATTCAACCGCTTCATGCGAATTGTCAAAGGAAACAGTTACAACAAGATATTTTCTCCCTGCCGGTCTAAGATCTGGGTGTGTTGCTTGTGGATGTCTCTGGCCCTTTACCTGTTAATTGGGCGACTCACCGGTTGGCTAAACATTGGTTTTATCCGTGGCTATGCAGTTTGTGCCTTTACATACCCAACTGCTGCTAGTCAAATCGTTCAGTACACCATCATGGTCGGAGTGCTTTTCTTTATCCCACTGTGTATCGGTATATTCAGCTATTACAAGATATTTTTCAAAACCAGTCAGCATCAACAGATTGTGGTCCCATCGCTGCAGAACACGACTAATGCTAACAACACCAGAGCAAGGAGAAGCACAGTGAAAGAGATAAACATTAGCCGAGTGTTGCTCTACGTAGGCGCTGGGTTTTTGTGGTGCTGGATTCCATTATGGGCACTTGCACTTTGGAAGCGCTTCTCCCCCGAAACATGTCCGCGAATTGCGGAATTACTCGTTACCTTTTTCCGCTTTCTGAGTTCGACGATAAATCCCTTCATTTACACTTTCAATAATAACGATTTCCGAAAGGAATTTCGGAAACTGCTGTGTTTCCCTAAAGGAGCTCGGACTGCACCAAATGATACCACTACGGCTACTGAAAACGAAGAGTTGGCAGGCGAAGCTAATGTCTAAGGCACTGTTTGAGGTGTCTGTCTATCTACCACGATATCAACCGCTCAAAAGAAGTCCTCCAGGAAATAACCTTCGTACCTGCGTCGCTTTTAATTTGATAAAACCCTAGAAAAGTATATGTCCCCGTAAAGCCAAAACTGAAAGAGTGTCAAATCCGAAGAACGAATTATTTTAAAGATTTGGTTTAGCGGTAAACATTTACAAGCCCTTCAGTGTAAAAAGTGTTTTCTTATGTATCTTCTTGTCGTTTCATGTTATATTTCTTCATTTTCTTTTTATTTCCAGTGTAATTAAAATCAACTAGTAAAGAAAAAAAAATGGACCCGCCTCGATAAGCATTTGCCATCTGTGGGTCAAAGAAATATCTTGTAAATAAATAAGAAAATAGAAAATTAAAGTGTGTGTGAAAAATGAAAAAAAAAAATAATAAAATAACCTTGAAACATTCTGGATGGTTTGAATTTGGTAAATCCTGTTCTTTTTTTTTTTTAGAAAATCTGATGAACAATTTGATGAAAACAAGTGCCAGATATACTTCAAAACGTATTGTTGACTGATAGGGCTAAAAACTTAAAAAAAAAATAGTCTCATAATATCGGAAATTCTGAAACTGAAAAATGTTCACTGCTGTATCTTTTATATAAGCAGTTCAGTAAATGTTTCTTGTTTTTTCTTTCGCTATAATTGTTGGATAAGTGTAAGTGCTAATCAAAAACTTGACATGTCTCTAAATACGTTGCTAGGAAAATCATTATCCGTAATTAAAAAAGATCAATCAATCAATCAATTTATTTAACGTGGTCAGAACGCTTAGCCAAAAGCTAGTTTACAGGTACGCCACGAAATAAAAAGAGAAAAGGAAATTATAAAGCCTTGTGAAGGTATATAAATTTAAATAAATTAAGAATTAAGAACTAGCTAATATTAAAATATAAGAATTTAATAATGTAGTCACCGAGTTGAATATATAAAATTTAAAATGTAATCATTAAAAATAGGAAATATAATGAAAGATAGATCCTCACCGCGCTAGAGTCCCGTGAGATCTAATGTTTTTAAGTAATTTTTAAAACTAGTAAATGTTTGTATCTTTCGAGACTCGTCCGGTAAAGCGTTCCATAGTTTCGATGCAGCATATCTCCATGATCTTAACCCGAAGGTTGTTGATTTTACTTTTGGGAGGTCCAGTATTGTGGTGCCCCTAAGATTATAAGTGGAGCACCTAACTGTTATAAGATCACGTAAGCTTTTTGGTCCTGCATCACTATTTAATATCTTAAAGACAGTGGACAAAATTTTCGCTAATCGCTGTTCACGAAGACTTGAGAGACCGATACGCTTACAAAGTTCCTCATAAGGGGAGGACTTATCTCTAAAAACAAAACGGAGCGCACGTTTGTTCACCAACTCTAACTTGTCAGCTGACTTCTTATTACAGAAGTGCCACGTTTCGGAGCAGTAATTAAAGTGTGGTAAAATGAAGGCTTTGTAAAGATCCCTTCTAGTCTCAAAAATAGATAGAAGGAAGAATCACGATTAAGATAGTAAATTTCTTTATTAACAGGAACGTATAGTTTATTATTCCTTTTTGCTTGTTTTTTTTTTGTTTTTGTTTTTGTTTTTGTTTTTCTAATTTTTCTCACTCAGTTTATGGTTTGGGCTTAGGAGTAATACACGATCGCGTAGCCCGTAGAATAGTCCTCGGAAAGAATGCAGGTTAGCTCAATCCAGCTTGCTAGGTGTGATAATCTAGTGCCACGAAGAATCAGCTTGCCAATAACACACAGTTCGCTACATACTGGTATGTACTGCTTATGCTGATCACCTTTCCAGTTTTCATCTTTAATGTACTGGCGCAGTTCCACAAACTCTCTGTCTTCTGATGAAGCTTCTTCAATTTCACGTGTTTTCATCGCTTGAGGAGCGGCAGTTACTGCGACGAACCTGATAAATTCATAAGACACCTTGTGCGCCGATGAACATTCTGCTTGCCCGTTCGCATGCAGTAAGCGTGACAACAGGTCAGCAATATTCTGCTCTCCAGGTAAGTATTTTACATGGAATTTTTATGGCTGTAATCGCAGGATCCATCTTTCGATTCGTCCACAGGGCTTGGATCTGCTCAAGTAGATTGTTTCCAACGACTTGTGATCAGTATACAGTGTGAATTCAATGCCGTACAAGTACACATGAAATCGTTCACATGCTCATACAACAGCCAAGGCTTCTTTTTCTGTTTGCGAATAGCGCCTTTCCACAGCGCTTAAATTCTTGCTTGCGTAGCTAATGACTCTTTTACTGCCTTGCTGCTCTAGCTTGGATTAGGATCGCACCGAGGCCTACCGGGCTTGCGTCTGCTATGATTAGTGTCTTAGCATCTTTATCAAAGTAGCCAAGATTATCTGCACTTGATAGCCTCCTCTTAAGCTCTTCTCCAAACTCGAAACGAACACCCTTTTTGGTCAACTTTCGCAATGGCTCCGCGACTGTAGCGAAGTCCGGGATAAAACGGGCATTGTAGTTTACCAGTCCCAGAAAGCTTCTGACTTTTGATTCACTCTATTGTATTGTATTGCAATCTTTATTTAGACACGATCACTTCATCAGCCTATAAAAATACATAGCACATACGCTAAGATATTTAAAATTAAAACTACATACTATAACATTAAAGCTTTTTTCCGTGAATGCCGTGCGTTAGACTTAAAGAATGTCATTGATCTTACGTTTGAATAACCCCAGAGACTCTGTGTTCCTTATATCGCGTGGTAAACTGTTCCATAATGTGGCGCCACTGTAGCTAAAGCTTTTTCTGTAATAATTAGTGCGCGGTACTGGAACATTAAGCTTATTTTCAGAGTCCCTGAGGTCATAAGCAGAGTCACGCCACGTAAACTTTGAATATAGATACCTTGGAGCTAGCCCGTGCAGACATCTAAACATCATGGTGGCTTTATGGATTTCCTGCTGGCGTGCAAGATTTTTCCACCCTAAAAACTCGAGTAGCTCAGTTGCATCAGCATCATAGTTAGAGAATGTCAACACACGGGCTGCTCTATTCTGCAATTTCTGCAGTTTGTCTCGTAGCGTTTTCCCACAGCTACCCCAAACAATGTCACAGTAATCAAAGTGAGGTTTTACTAAAGCTTGGTAGATGAGATGTAAGGTTGATGCTGGGATCAGGTGCCTAATTCGCTTTAGGGCCCCGATACCAGAGGCGATCTTTTTCGTTAGTTTTTCGATGTGACTATGCCAATCGAGTTTATCGTCTATTATTACGCCAAGCGATTTTGTAGCTGAACTCTGCGGTTCTCTTGGATCAACGATCGCCTTTACCTTGTCTTCAGCAGGGCCAATACCATTGTTGCTCAGCACCAGTCCCATGAAGACGATCTGGGTCATGTGAAACTCGGACTTCTCTGCATTCAGCGTGAGATTCTTCTCTTTCAGCCTCTTCAAAACTCGCTGCAGTCTTCTGTCATGTTCCTCAGTGTTCTTCCCATGAATGATGATATCATCTGAGATGTTGGCAACATCTTCGCAGCCTTGTAATGATTGCTGGCTGACGTGCTGATTTACTTCTGGGGCTGAGCTTATCCCGAACATGAGGCGCTTGTATCGGTAAAGAACACAATGTATGGTGAACGTAGTGATGCTTCTGGAATCTGGATGGAGTTCTAAGTAGTGGTAATCCCATTTTAAATCCAGTTTACTGAACACTGTGCTCTGGTTGAGGCTTTGGAGCACTTCTTCCACTGTGAGTATAGGATAACGTTCCCTGATAATGGCTTCGTTAGCTCTTCGCATGTCCGCACAAAGGCGTATTTCGTCACTCTGCTCTGGGACTACTACGACTGGACTAGCCCACGGGGTTGGGCCCTCTACTGGTTCAATTATGTCCATGGCTATTAATTCTTCAATCTTCTCCTTAACCTTGTCTCGAAGACTAAATGGGGTGCGCCTGACTGGTTGCACCACCGGGGGTACATCTGGATTCACACGCAACTTAACTTGGTAATGTTTTAACTTTCCCACACCTTCAAAGATTTGTTTGTAATCAGACATGATTGTCACATTAGATGTCATAGTGTAGATCTGGGTTCCTAATTTCAACACGCTTAGCTGTATGGCAGTTTCTCTTCCGAGCAGTGCCACCCCTTCGCTATTAATAACGACAAATTCGGCTTCGGCTTCTTTTCCCTCTACTCTCGCTGGTGCTGAGAATGTTCCTAGAACGTTCAGCGGCTGTTTACTGCCATACGCGTAAAGCTTCTTATCACTCTTTCTCGACGCACACTTAATCTTATCTTGTTTTAACTTTAACCACAGATTTTTGTCAATCACATTGCTGTTTGCACTCGAATCAATCAACATCGAAACTACAACTCCACCCACAGTCACAGCTATTTTCTCAGGCGATGTAGCAGAATTCACAGTAAATACATATTCATCTTCATCTCTCTGACTTCTCGTAGACCTGACTGACTTCTTCGTTTTCCTTCCTTTTGTCTTCTCTTCCCGCCTAAAGGTTTGCTCATCCAAGCAGATAAAGCCGATAATAAAACTCAGAGGAGAGCTTTTCTTCATTCGGCCGGTGAAGCTGTTCAGGAAATTTTCGAAACGTTACCTGACACAGGCGAATCTAATCTAAACGGCGACTCCGCCATGCTACAATGGAACCCCGATACAACGATCCTCGATATAACGATATTCCCTGTACAACGAAAAATATGCTATGTCCCAGCAAAAGTTACAGCAAAATGTATGGGACAGAACCCCGTCTCGATATAACGATAACTCGATACAACCATCTAATTTCACTGCTCTCTTGGCATATCGTTTTATCGGGGTTTCACTGTACTTTTTAAAATAACTGAATCCCCACTTCCATTGCGTGCTATGTATGACACACGAAATGTACCTTACAAACACTACAGGTTAATTTGACAAGTATGTAAACTGCAATGCACGCACCTTGGCGATCCCAGAGATCTTTGTGCCAACACAAACTTAATCATTTGACGCGAACTAACAAATGGCGGAACCAGAAAGTTCCCAGTTCGATTTGGTTATTCGCGATGGTAGAGTTATAGACCCAGCTAATGAACGAGACATTTTAGCAGATGTTGGAGTTAGAAGCGGAAGAATTTGCTCAGTCGCTAAATGTCTTGAAGGAAGAGGGCTTAAGGAGTTTGACGCATCAGGCTGTATCCTAACACCAGGGTTGATTGACAGCCATGTGCATGTTTATCAGCATGTCACGCCCTTGGGTGTTAGTGTGGATGAGACGTGTTTGGCCAGGGGTGTTACAACTGTTGTTGATGCTGGTAGTGCAGGTACACTTAGTGTTGTTGGTTGTTGCTTGACTGTTCAAATGTACAATAAACGTCTCCTTTATTGTAAGAATCATCCTCAAGCCTTTACCCAGCCCCATATGGGAACATACATACATATATAACCTTTATTTCTGTGTCTAGTCGTTCTGAGTAAAGTATTAGTTAATTAATTAATTGGTTAATCAATGATAATTAATTTTAGTATAATCCTTAAGAATAGATGTACTCAACTAACATTTCGATCTTTACAAATCTCTTACGTTTGCTACAGCAGTGAACACTATTTACAATCAAAACTATTAATACTAGTTGTGCAGAGATGACAATTTGTTCCGCATCCATTGACTTTAGCTGATAAATCTTTCTTCTATGTCATCACTCTGAATTCTCAGTGGCAGGGATTTGATTGTCCAGAGTGATGGCCCTAAATAGCTGAACTTCACATATGATAAATAAAATGAGTAATAAAGAAAGATTACAAGTTTCTGTGAACCCCTTAACCTTTATGAGCGATTAGCATCTAAATTCTCTATACAATATCACCCCTACATCAAACATTAAGGTCAAGAGTCAGTAAAGGAAGAAAAAAAAAGGAAATTCATGATTGTTGACCAAATTCTCCTTGTCAGCACTGTTTCGTTAATACTATGAATTATCAACTTGATTTCCTGATTGACTTTGATTGACACTAAGTTTTGCAATTAAGCCACGTGAATGTCTGCTTTCAGTTCAGATGTTTAGATTCGAAGTGACCTTCATGTTTTGCTGACCTGTCGCGCTGACCGATATTCTGTTATACTCTGATCTGTTATATCTGTTGCTATATCCTACTAGACATCGCCACAGAAGTAAGTTATCAGTGCTGCAATTCTAGCTAATAGTTTGACTCGTGTGTTTATGTGTCGATAGATCCTGTTCAGTTTCTCAAATGTATTTAATTTCTTTTCTCTAGATCAAATAATAATATACTGGAATAAATTATACGATTTGCGTAAGCTAGTTGGATTGCCTGTTTGGTTTATCGGACCAAGCACAATTAGGAAATGTGTAAAGAATAGTACGGAGAATATGCATACTGACGTTGGGTTGTAAAGGGTACTAACAAGTTCCTTTGACTTGAATGTGCACATTTTTCAAAAGTAATTCATTCATTTTGAATAAATCAGACCAGTAAAAAGTTCCAGTCATAGTACGTGGGTGCAAAAACAAAAGATTCCTTGTCATTAGAGAGTTGTCCAACCTTTACTACAGCAATGTAATGTTTTCGGCATTCATTTTTGGTCTGCTTTTATTCTGTTTAACCCTTTCCACCCTAACCTCAATGTGGATATTCTCCATACTGTTCTCCACTGCAGCAGGGATGGCGCAGTGGTGAGATCACTCGCCTCCCACCACTGTGGCTCGGGTTCGATTCCCAGACCTGGTGTCACATTTGGGTTGAGTTTGTTGTTGGATAATCTCGTCCTTGCTCCGAGGGTTTTTCTACGGGTCCTCAGGTTTTCCTCCCCGCTCTGCAAAAACCAACATTCCAAATTCCAATTAGATCTGGAAACAGTGGACAAGAAGAGCCACCCAGAGGAATGTCCATTGCTAAATTATTATTTATTTAATTATTATTTATTATTTATTTATTTATTACATTTCCTGAGATGCTGACAAGGAGAATTTGACTTTATATAGCAGTCAAGAGCTTCTTTAGGTGGTGTTCATTTCTTAATTCCCATGACCTTATAATGTGTGATTCAGAGGTTATAATTAATGTATGGACAAATAAGATGCTAGTCACTCTTGTAGGTCAAAGGTTAACTAAAATTAGTTGTCTAGTATATCTTTGATATGGATAATTTATTTCTTTATATAATTGTGTACCAAGCTTTGACCAGTTACCTTTCTGATCTTATCTTAATTGCATGTCATTTTCATTTTGTTAAAAAAAAAATGGATTTAGAAGTTCCGCTTTTGATGCTGGGATATAATTGTTTGTAGCATTGTAAGTTGTTCTAAGTTATGTTTTAAAAATTTCACTCATTGTCTTCTGGGAGACAGCACAGGGCTCTGAGAGAGCTGAATTGAAAAAATGTAGTTTTTCAAAAATATATGTGAGGCCCAGTTCTCACAAGCAGAACAAGTGAAATAATAAGCAAAAAAGGGTGCCAATGTGTGCTAGTATGCATAAAATTGGCCACCCACAATACTAGCATAGACGTATCAAAGCCATGTTGTTTTTTTTTTTTTTACTTTGTGCTTTATGTATATAAATGCTTGTGTCACTTGTGGGAGCAAATTTTTCCATATAGCCCTTGAACATTTTTTTTTAATTCATAGGAGCCTCAACCTTTCCTGGCCTTCGAAAATTTATTGCAGAAAAGTCCCAGACCACAGTTTTGGCTTTACTCCACATAGCAGCTCATGGTTTGGCAGCAGCGGGATGTACTAGTCATGGTGTGTAATGAAACTGAAACGTTTTCATATTCTTTTAGAAAAAATAAGCTTTGCATAGGGCTATCAATACATTCTAAGGTCTCAATTTTTAATAGGGTTTAATATGCAAGTGACAATAAAGTTGTGGGCTTAAGGTAACACTTATCATTAGCCAACAATAGATAAATAAGGAAAAAAGTGAGATGTACAATTTGATATTAAAAAAAAAATAGTTGTAACAAACCTATGTGGGTTTGGAGTTTAGGCTAGTATTTAAATGATGTTGCCAACCTTGCCAAAAAACTTAATATGCAAAGTTCTACTGAGTTCAAAAGGTTTTCATCTGGAATTCAGTGATCATTGAACAGTTGTCGGTCAAGCTTAATCCTTTAGCTCAATTAAATTGGCAACATGTGCCAAAAACTTTTTGCTCTTGACTTCAGAGTCATTGACACAATCATGTTATTGTAAGGTGCTGCTGAGTTAGTGTGTAAAATTGTAACACCATCCCAAAATTATGCATTTCGTAGCAATAATTATACACCATTTCATGTGAAGTGGCTCAACTCATAGTCATAGTCATCCTCAAAACCTTTTAAACCAAACCATATTATAAACCTTCCTGTGAAGGTTAATTAAGCTTTGTGCCATAGTCTTTACAATTCAGTAAATAAATCTAAAATTTCTAAATCTCGCTATTTACCTTTTGTTTGAGTTATTAATTATTTTTTTGTCTTAGCGATAGGAGGTGAGTGTGATTCACTAAACCAAGTTGATGCAGAATTGTGTACCAAATGTGTAGAAAAAAACAAAGATATGATTGTAGGAGTTAAAGTTCGTCTTTCAGCCAGTGCTGCAAATGATGGAGCTAATGAAGAGGAAGCTTTCAGGCAAGTCTTTCTATTTTTTAGTTAGCATTAAGGAGACCTTACAGCTGAGCTCACTTCCAAATTCATCTTTTATTTGGACACAGAGATCCAAATTACTGAACACATCATCACCTGATCTTCAGTGAAATTTTAACTGAGAATTCCGATGAGGGGTGTTACGAAAACGAAGACCCTGTAAACAGAAAACCATAGAAATTACAAGTTAAACGCACATTAAACAGTAACAACGCTTTGTAATAATACATTACACTTCACGCGTTTCTTTCCATTATTATACTGCCCCTATTATTATACTGCCCCTATTATTATACTGCCCGTAGTATCATACTGCCCGTAGTATCACACTGCCCGTAGTATCACACTGCCCGTAGTATCACACTGCCCCTATTATCATACTGCCCGTATTATGATACTGCCCTTATTATCATACTGCCCGTATTATCATACTGCCCGTAGTATCATACTGCCCGTAGTATCATACTGCCCGTAGTATCATACTGCCCGTAGTATCGTACTGCCCGTAGTATCGTACTGCCCGTAGTATCGTACTGCCCGTAGTATCGTACTGCCCGTAGTATCGTACTGCCCGTAGTATCGTACTGCCCGTAGTATCGTACTGCCCGTAGTATCGTACTGCCCGTAGTATCGTACTGCCCGTAGTATCGTACTGCCCGTAGTATCGTACTGCCCGTAGTATCGTACTGCCCGTAGTATCGTACTGCCCGTAGTATCGTACTGCCCGTAGTATCGTACTGCCCGTAGTATCGTACTGCCCGTAGTATCGTACTGCCCGTAGTATCGTACTGCCCGTAGTATCGTACTGCCCGTAGTATCGTACTGCCCGT